TATCGCTCGCGACAGCAATATAATTATTGCTGTCGCGACTGTGCGATGGGCGGCAGCAGTGAGTGTGCGAGCTTGGGGACATTGGACGAAATTCTACGTGCTCGGCAACCGGACTTTACCAATGTAACAGTGTGTCCATCATACGATTACATCATCATAAACTATGCGATTACTATTTTATATGTTTTGTACTTACAGTTAACGCATTTAAATATTGTTGAATATAGTTTTTAATTTATGGTCGAAATTAAAATTAACCGGAGATTTAAAACAGTATTTTAAGTAGTAATCTTGTATAGCTGCCAAGATATTAATTTTATTTATTTAATTGGTACATATGGCGAACTAATAATTACCATAAGGCATTTTCTGTCAATTAATCCTATGCCTTTAATTTTGTATAGCTGCCAACTCTTACGTTGTATTATTTAAAATATCAATTTTCCGGATATATCTAATGTCGACCATTAAATTCTATCAAATATTTTAAAATGCAACATTTTTAGGAATGTGAGGCACTGATTATTAAATGGAATTGGGAATATTCACAATTACATAAAGAATGGGTTCAATTAGATAAAATAGTGCAAAATGAGCAGTATTTTTTAATAAAAATACCGAATGAAAGTTTTGAAATTTAAAAACACAGTCCTGGTTTCACGAGTCTCTAGTATTCATAATTTCATAATGTGGATCAACAGTTTTTTAATGGGAATACCATTTTGAGCAGAAAATTTAAAGCTGAATTGATTTTATACTAGGCTGAAACGATGTGTAAACTTGCAATGCGATTATTCCCACCTCCCGTTCCCACCGCTGCAACTCCTGTGTAGCCAGGATCTACAGCTTGACCGCCAATAAAAACCAACTAGTGTAGTCAAAGTTTGTCTAGGGCAGTGGTTCTTAACCTTTAAGTCACGAGGGACCATTTTACCAAATTTCTGTCTTGTCAGGGACCACTTATTTTTATTCAAAATCCTATGAAAGGGGAGGTCGTTTTCTCGCCCACTGTGCGCCGTTTGCGTTGTGTTGACTGGACTCATCACGTCACGTCACTTGTTTATTACGATGTCTTCGTGGACCACTTGGAATGCCTCCAGGGACCACCAGTGGTCTGCGGACCACCGGTTAAGAACCACTGGTCTAGGGAGAAAGGAACCGATCCGCAATGAAATTAATCACAAGAGAAGTGTATTCGATTTTTATTATATGAGTAAACGTGTGATCGATTCTTCGGTCTTCGACTTGAATCGATTACAAAGTCTCTCTTTCTAGTCAAGACTGTATCGTTAAATTTCAAAACCCACCCGGCGTTATGTAATGTGCGAAAAAGCGAATTCAAAATACATTAAGAATTAAGTTTCTTACAATAAAGTCGTGAGGTAACCTTTGTATACGTACTTGCAATGTCTTAGTTAACTTTGTTTTTTGAACTGCGATCGTGTTGATTGATTTTATCTATAATATTATAAATGCGAAGGTAACTCTGTCTGTCTGTCTCTCTTTCACGCCTCACTGAACCGATTTTGATGAAATTTGGCATAGAGATAGTTTGAGTCCCGGGAAAGGACATAGGATAGTTTTTATCCCGGTTTTTGAAACAAGGACGCGCGCGATAAAGCTTTTCTGTGACAGACAAAATTCCACGCGGGCGAAGCCGCGGCCGGGAAGCTAGTTTCTTATAAATTTCGAAAAACTGCCTGAATTAATTCCTAGAAGAACAAAGGCGACTGCTTTAGTGGAATAAATTCACCTGGGTGAAATGATTCCGAAGTGAGAGGACACTAAAAATTCCACTTTTTTCAACCAGGTGAACAAAGTGAAATAAACTCCTGTGAGTCAGAATAAGGTTTAATTAAAAGAATACTACACGTACGAGTAGGTTAACGGGACTAAGCTAAATATGCTTGTGTTATGAGAGGGTTCACCATAATAGGCCAGCGGTGGGAATCAAACCCGCGTTCCTCGGATCTCGAGTCGGCCAGTCCGACACCTTCACCGTTGGACCAAAAGTTATCTGCCTGACTTTTCAACCAAATCGATCGCAGTTCGAGAAACCGTGAGTTAATTATATCGATTATCGATTAATCTTATAATACCGTAAAGCTACACTACGCATAAATGCAAAGATGCCACTCGATCGATAAAGGAATATCAACGGAATTATTTCGAATTTTATCGATATTTTGGGACACATTTATTTGCGCAACCCTATTAAACCCTATTAAGGCAGTGGGAACATAGTTCCCATCATTCTTGACCTTATTTCCTTGTATTAAGGTTCAAATCAATGATTAATCTGGACAATATTTATGCCATGTGACTTGGTAATTCATTAACTTCTTATCTTTGTAAACGCTCTTATACTTCAAGAAATAAGAGCTACTTTTGTGTAATAATAAGTTGCGTAAACAAATGTAGTCCCATTTAAAAGAAAGGTACTTCCAATATCATTTTAGTTATTACAATAAAATTAATACCAAATTCATTCTTTCCTATACCCCTTCTAAAGACGTGTAGTTTTTGAGAGATTTTCATGATTTTTTCCCGTTAGAAAGTATGTGAAATCTCTAAAAACTGTAATAGTAGCTTAATTCAGTCAGTGCATGAGGTATGGAAGCGGCACGGGAGGGTGTTTTTGAGACGTCTAACGTCAGCGAGACTTCAAATGGCAATGCCAGATTTTGTATGGAAGGTGGCGTCTTTTTTTTTCGCGCGGCCACCGACCAAACCTTATTTTTTGATTACAAAATAGTGTAATAAACCAAACTTACTATTACATGTATACCTCTCAACTCAGTCTGAACTGAGTTACGAGTACGAGCATTAGAAGTTTGATGATTTTACATACTAGATTTGCTTTCTGCGTGCAAGCTTTGTAAGAAATTGCAACAAAATAGTGACATTCAGTGCCGGATTAGCCACGTAGCAAGAGTAGCAAATGCTACGGGCCCCGCGAATTTGGGGGCCCCGCGCTCCAAAGCCTGTCTGACCGAAATAAAAAAAGATTAATTTAGATAGGAGCGTAAAATATTTTGCATTAGGCTATGCTTTACTTTCACTTGAAAATCTAAAACTCGATTTCATCACGTTAAATCATAAAAATAAGTAAGTAGGTATTTTACGAACTTTTTAACCGGAATGTTCTCTAATAGGCCAGTAGAATTAAACACAAAAATGAATTAAATCTGAAACAATTCCTACTAAAGGTTTTAGTGCTTTAATGGCTTCATTAGTTGCCCATAAAGACTCTCCTAGGTTTTCGACTTCGACAGAGTTGTGCTTAAGTGGTGGGGGCCTCCGAAAGGGGCGCTTTTTCAGTTTTCCGGTTATACTGCGTAAAGGACTTACCCTATCGAAAAGTGGTCTTCCTGACGGTTGAAGGGCATTTAATCCTGCATTAAATAAGACCAAATATATATGTTTTGAACAAACCGTTCTCGTGCAAATGTTCGGCAAAGTAGAAAATATGTGTATAACCCTCTCCACGTCCAATGGCGCTACCCGCAGGCTTCCAAGTCTTGAAAAGGAGCGCCTCAACCAGTGTAACCCTATCAAGGCTTACGAGTTACGATTTTTCCTACTTTGCCGAACACCGCACGAGAACGGTTTGTCCAAAACGTATGAATTTGGTCTTATTTAATGCAGGATTAAATGCCCTTCAACCGTCAGGAAGACCACTTTTCGATAGGGTAAGTCCTTTACGCGATATAACCGGAAAACATAAAAAGCGCCCCTTTCGGGGGCCCCCCACCCCTTAAGCACAACTCCGTCGAAGTCGAAAACCTAGGAGAGTCTTAATGGGCAACCAATGAAGCCATTAAAGCGATAAAATCTTTTGTAGGACTTATTTCCGATTTAAAATGTAATTCTACTGGCCTATAATGTTTAATTATAATAATCGATATAATATGTATTTAGACTAACATCTATAGATACCACATTTCTACCCTTCAAGCGGCCAGATTTTTATTTTTTTTCTATAGGTATACATTTATTTTATGAGTTTACGTAGGTAGCCGAGATTATACTTTTTTAATCGATTTTAATATAATATCGATTATCAATATTTCGAGAAAACAGGCGAACTATTTAAAATTTATTAATTCAGTCACGATCCAATCTACTATAGTTGGTTGATTTGTTATAAAATATAGATTCATTTTATGAGTGAATATAGCTAACCTTTTTAATCGATTATCATATCGATCATGTTTCGAGATTATTGAAAGCTAGTGACGGTAGATTAAGAGCAAGGTGTTTTAGAGTCTCAAGTAAAAAAGCGGATAATAAAAAAATGAGGTTTACTATTATTTAACAAAAAACGTATGACAAAAGATCATTTTACAAACAACTTTTGAAAAACTATTCATTTTAAAAAACTTTTAATAAATAATTCTTTAGAATTGTGTTTTCCAAACTTAGAAATTGCCTTGCGCATTTACATGTCTCTCATGATCACTAACTGCAGTGGCGAACGTTCTTTTTCAACATTAAAACGTATTAAAAATGAATCAAAGAACACGATGGGACAAGAACGTCTTAATCATCTTACTTTGTTGAATATAGAGCATGATTTGCTTAAAGTTGATATTGAAAGTGTTATCTCTAAATTTTCCCACATTAATACCCATTACTATTAATACCCTAAACTTGAGAACCTAAAGCAAACCAAGGGCCCCTTGATAGAAATTTGCTACAGGCCCCGCGCTGGCTTAATCCGGCACTGGTGACATTGTATGTGTAAACAAACAATAACATCAATTATAGGCTCCAGTCATCAGTATGGAGCAGAATCAGCGCAATAAAAAAGACTTCACTATTTTGTTGAAATTTCTTATAAAACTTGCGCGCAAAAAGCAATTCTTAGTATGTAAAACATCAAACTTCTAATGCTCGTAATTCAGTTCAGACTGAGTTTAGAGGTATACATGTCATAGTAAGTTTGGTTTATTACACTATTTTGTAACCAAAACACATGGTTTGGTCGATGGCCGCGCGAAAAAAAAAAGACGACAATTTCCGGCATTGTCTTTTGTATGCTGTCACTTCATATTATTATGTAAATGTCTACCTTCCCTCACATACATCAGTCACTGACTAAGCAACCAACACACGTCACTTTAAAGACTATTGCCAAACATCATTCTATCGTCATACAAGCTCAATCTATTACACTCGCTAGCCCTACCTTTCTGTAATGCCCTATCTCTCCTTGCACGCCTCACCGCCACTGGTAAATCTCCCGGAGTTTTTACCCTACCCGCGGGATTCTGCAGATTCAAATCCCCAGACGACGAAAATATCTCCGAAACCTGCTCCAAAGAATGCTGCCTCTTAATGGTCAAGTTTTTCAAAGATGGCTTCGGCGATTTAGGCTCCCTTTCCCCCTCAATGAACTTCAATTCAGAAGTATCTATTTCCCCATTCAAAGCAGCTAAGTATACGGGATTGTCGCCACTATAGCCATTAACACTGTTCTCTTTGTCATTCGGATCGCTGAATTCGTTGTCGAAATTAGTGTACTTATTATGGAATTTATTGAAACCAAAGTCCGTGACTTGACTCGCTTCTTTTAGTACATCGTTTTGGAACTTTTTCTTTTCGATGTCGCTTTTCGGTACCGCTTGCATAGTTATTTTTGAGACACCGTTCTCTGAGAGCAGCATTAGGTGTTCGTCCTCGCTGCTTGAGCAGTCCGAATTTAAATCGAATGGACTGTCGTTGCTGTAGTTTTCGGTCTGGGCGTTTATGTATTGGAGTTCCAAGTTTATACTGGCCCTGGATGACCTGCCGCTGGAAGTAATGATCCTATTATCGCAGCTCAACCTTTTTTTGACGGTGGAATCTTCGGATTCAGAATGACCGGACTTGAAAATGCTCTGAGAAGACATTGAAGTCCTAAACTTATTAATACTTTCCGTGCTGCCTCTCTTTCGCATTTCGACATCTAATGGTTTCGCTTTAGGGACTATAACCGCGAATATCTGATTCTGGTTTTTGGGGTCGTTTTCGCTTGGTAACTCTTTGAATCCGAATACGTTGTTTTCTCGATTCAGATCCGATTCTATCATCATATTGGGAGATAATGTTCTGTTAGGAGGCGATAGCGTACAGGGTCCTTCTAAGCTGTATATTCTGTCTTGATTAAGAACGAGGTTTGTAGGTCGATCATAGTTGTTTTGCTTTTCAATTATGGTAGTTTTCGTATTGGAACTTTCGGGGACCAATTTGACTTCTGTATCCATTTTTTTGTTGAGTCGATCGAAGAATCTTCTGATGCCCCATTTTGGCTTTTCCACCTTCACTTCTTGGAGTAAGTTTGTTTGTTTGGGCGCCTTTTCTTCATGAGAACTGACGTCATTGGGGACGTATTCCAGCGGTCTTTGGTAGGATCGGATTTCGTTGAGTCTGTCAGAGTTTTCTAGAAGCATTCTAGTGGAATTTTGAGTGGGTCTAGCCACAGATAGCACTTGTTCTTCTTGCGGTGGCGGTTTGGGTTCTGTGTTGGGTATGTCTTTAAGGCTCTTGTGTATGAGTGTGAGTGAGTTGGTGTTAGTGTGCGTGTTGCGCGCGAGACACGCGTTTCTTCCTACGTGGGGAGGGGGGTAGAGGAGAGGGGTGGTGACGTCACACGTCTGGGAGGTTGTGCAGTTGGAATTCTTGTCCGGTTCTGGTGGCGCGGCCGTGTCTGCAAGAAATATAAAGGATTCTAGTCAGTGCGTGGAATAATCAATGCCAATAGAATCTGGCAATTTTTGTAACATAAAAAGCTGATTAATTGATACCGAGGTGTCTATGTATCTAGAATTCTAGATAGATTAAAAGTTTATTGCATACGCAAGGTAAGAAATACACGCAAAAAGACGGCATAGTTTAGGCGGTTTTAACGCTATACAGCGACCTCTTCCAGACCACTTAACGGATATTTGTTTGAAATAGTTAAGTATTTGGGTCGTTCTACTTTTAAGGTCTTAACCATGAAAAAAAATAGAGAAAGCTATTTATTACATTTCATACGACTGAAATGTAGGAAAATTACCATAGATTCGGTATCTGTAGACCAGCAGCTCAGTTTTTTATCAAAACTTATATTTTTTTGCGTTTTACTCGACTAAGATGGAAAAAAATGTATCCTTCGTCACGAAATTCAGTTGTTTAAAACTCGATAAATTAAAAGAAATTTCAATAGATATTTGCATTTATTATTACAAAATCTCAGCTTAAATCAGTCTTGGACAATTGGTAGTTAATCGTTATTTAATCAGGTAACAAACAATCTCCCCCTCGGACCGCCAAAGCGTATAGACGTGTCCCCGTGTTAGTTTTTATTTAATTTCGACAAAAACCAAATAAAAATCCATAATATTATTCCTCGAAGTACCAGGCGCGCATAACGCGCTAACAGTGAGTGAAGACACGCTGACGGACAAGGACGGCACTACTGAGACAACCAAAACTTGCGAGCTACGCATCATACGCATCGTCCCCGCCTGTGAATCATCGCGGAACGAACGTACGTAGCGTCATAACACTAGCGGCTGCCACAATTTAGAGGCGAGAGCGGTAGCGATTAATTTTTTAACGCTTGGTCCAAGAGATAATTTTTATTTTGTATCACCGCTGAGATTTATTATCTACAACAATGCCAAATATTATGCGCTCACCAACCACAAGTAAACTAAATAAGTCTCACAGCTTGTCGGAAACAGATGTAGACAAAATTTCAACCTCCGGCCCCCACCTAGAGGAGCTGACCCTAGTGGCTCAACATGACAAAAAACGACGACGACTTGAGGCTTGTTCCTCAACTGAAACTGAGGTCGAACAGTCTAAACAAGATCCCTCTGATATCAGGGCAATAATTAGAGAGGAGCTGCGGGAGATATTTGGCAATGTGCAGGAACAACAAAACTTACGCATGGAATCTCTACAGCAACTTATATCGGATATAAAAATTCAGAATGACACAACACACAAAAAGAATTCAGATATTGAGAAGTCATTAGCATTCGTCACCAATAAACTTGAGGACATCCAGTCCACAATTGGTCGATTGGAAGAGGACAGACGTGAACTTGTATCTCAACTGTCCAAAATTGAGGAAAAGTGTGATAGTATTGAAAGGAACTCCCGTAAAACCAGTATACAGATTCGTAACGTGCCTAAACAGAAAGGGGAAACCAAAAGCATGCTACTTAACATGATCCAGAAGTTGAGCTCCACGCTTAATGTCACCATTAATACGGCAGACCTGAGGGATGTTTATCGAGTGCCAACTAAACCAGACCAGAAGAACTCCATCGTAGTGGCTGAATTCTCGTCTACTATTACCAAAGGAGACCTGCTGTCATCGGCAAAGAAGCACGTTTTAAATGCTATGAAATACAAAACTGAACAACTTAACTCTTGCCATCTGGGCTTGGAAGGAACTAAGACAGAAATTTATATTACCGAACATCTTACACCCCAAGCATCCCGCCTACACTTCTTGGCCCGAGAATTTCGGAAGACTATGAGCTATGATTACTGCTGGACATCTAACGGAATGGTCTACCTACGGAAAAAGCAAGGAGACCCCTACATACTTGTTAAAAGCGAAGCCCAGCTGCACCTCCTGAAAAATAAGTGACTAGTCTGCATTTACATTTCCTGTTATTTACTCCATATTCTAATTGTTACATTAACTCCGCCTTTGGATTTTCATAGCCATCATAAGGTACTTATACTGCACAACAACAATTATATTATTTCTTTAATTTTAATATCTAAACACGAAACGATATTTATATACACATCTTTAATTAATGATTGCCACCACATATTAATAATAAATATACACAAAACACTATCGAAACCATGTAAAAACCTCACATTACTGCTGTATCATAAAACAAAGAACACTAAAACTCAAATACATCTTACCTACTCATATCTACATGNCCACACGTGAAAACAGAACCAAATGGTATCCTTTGATTACTTATAAAGATTTTCACAAAAAGCAAAAAGACTTATTCGACAAGCCAAACATAATTTTATTAGTATTGATTGAAAGATAATAATGTGGGTACTTTTGGAACAAATTTTGATGCTTTAGAACCATTGGGAAAGGTCATTATTGGGGTCTTTTGATAAAAAAAAAATAGAGTTAGGCACCACAAGGTATCCAGCTACAGTATAATAAGAAGATAAGTGGGTTAGATCAGATGGCTAGTCTATAGAACTTTACCAAATTGAGGTAAAAGGAAAAAAAGCGATGGATGGGTCTTGTTCGCTTATGTGGTGGACATGACAATTTCAAATGCATGCAGACTGCACGGCATAGTAAACCCATTTATAGTCGCTTAGATCAGCTAGCATTCCGCAAATATATAGTACGCACATATTTGACCTATAAAAGATAAATAAAAGTAGGTAGTCTTGCTCTAGTTGATAGAGAACAAATATGAAATAATGGTTATAATCAAAATAAACCAGCAAACAAGCTGATTTGACAGCTTAAAATTACTGTGTGTTTCAATAGAGTCAAAACAGCTTATAGCGAGTGCCTGAAAATACTGTGCCAGGATGGAGAAAGCTTTGCTCAATATGACTCATAAGCGCCCATTGTACTAAACTTAGTACACCCCTGAAAATCTAACTTCTGATTTTGTTTTTGGTTTTCTTTCTGTTTAGTATTATTTCTGAAGTATTTTTATAAAGGAAATAAACATTGGCTATGTGAAATTGACCGTAGTTTTCATTTGGGCGTTAATGGGTTAAATTGTATGAAGAATCGGCCAAATCGAATCGTTGTAATGTGCGCACTTCCATACATGCCCATACTGATCAACTGCCCGACTAAACTATCGGCCGACGAAAATACGATGGTCTGCGCCTAGGCTTGAAAATACATTATTTCACCCGATTAAAAATATTCTGCACTAACAGCTTTCTGCATAAACCAAAGATTGACTGGCGGGGAATGCTTTCAGTCCGCCTTTTGTACGTTAGTTATGCAATAAAGTACTTATTTAAATAAATAAATTATTTGACTCTTTTCAGGGATGTACGACGCATATAAACAAATTATTCAAATTCAAATTACCCCGCCCTAAGTGACAAACAAACCTCTATTAACATAAAAAATGGCTGGCACATTTTAAAGTAACATCATGTGATCCTAAAGAAACATAATATACGATGTTTCACTACTACATTCCACAGGAGAGTGGAAAAATAATGGAGAAACTGACGTTTAATGTTTCAGAACTAAGCGATTCGCGGAATCTGTATCTAACACTTGATAAGTACTTAAGTAGTGCTTATGCAACTCAGTCTGGGAATTTGAAGCATTTTAGTAGAAGTTTGGTACTTTAACAAAAATATTTTTTTATTTATTTAAAAAGCAAAGTAAGTAAATTCAAATTCAAATATTTTATTCAGTACATAGGTCCTTTCCAGGGCACTTATACACTTTATGCCTCTCAAAGTCAATATCTTAAGGTTACAGAACGAAGTCCAAAACTCAATTTACATATTATTTGAGGCATAGATTTCTAGAATATTGACTATTTAAACTGTGGCTGTGATTTATTAGACTGTTAAGTGTTGGGCCTAACCTAAGTACCTATATACGAACCTATCCTACAGTGCCTTAATGTCGGGTGAAACAATCATGTTTGATTTATGAGCACAGCACTTCAAGTATGAAATATTACATCTTGCCGCAAAGAAACTATTGTTGTTCTTAACATTGCCTTCCAAAACAGACCCAAATGAAATATGCAAACGGGCTTTTAATCTCTCGGAAACGAACTCAAAGCGAAGAATATTCGCAACTTGATAGATTTAGCAACAGCCTTAAGCGCTTAGCTCGGACACAAAGGAAGAAAATGTAGTAGGTGAGTGCATCAAGTCTGGTATGATTTTATTTTACAGTAGCAGAAATAAAGCAGCCAATGATTTGTATAATCGTACAAAATAGCTGCTGAACCAATTTTAAAGAACTATGGTATTACAGATTTAATTTTATCGTTCTCGGATATTATTTTACTGTCAAAAAATCTACAAGAGGAGAAAGAAAATAAGAATGATTTGTGTATGAAGAACTAACTACGAATATGTTCTGGAAATTTTATGATTAAATTAGATTATTACTAAAAAGTAAGGTTGAAGTATTTTCGACTGTAACATGACCAAAATCCACTCGAGTAAAGTCACAACCAACTAAAGTTAGAACATTTTTTATATATAATCTGTCTTAGAACTACTTATAGCATAAAAATGTCCTGTCTTAAGTTTTTAGAGACTCAAAAACCGCAATTAAGTATAGCTACATAATAAGATGCCACGAAGTTTAACTTGGTATACCGTCGCGTCGTTACTACTTCATGTAATACCTACAGTCAGAATTTGAATGTAATCGGCACAGTGTGCTTACCATGAGTTTACGTTAGGTGTGCTCGCTAGCGACTGCGTAAAAAAATGACATTAATTGTATGACATATAACATCTAAAGCTTCTGCTTCAAAACATAAGGAGTATAAAATGCAACATCACACAATTTGAAACCCTCTTACAGAGGTCAAAGGTTGACTGGGACGTCATCATATTGACTGAATGTTGGCTACTAAAAAACGCTATGATACCATCGCTCGACGGCTATGACTCTTGCATTACTACTAACAATAAAACGCAAAATGAAGGTGTAGTAGTGTACTATAAAACAACCTTAAAGTACAAAATCTATGAAGCCAAAATACTTGATGCAAATAGTTTAATTATAAAAGTTAGTAACACTACAGTGATCCTTGCAATATACCGGCCACCAGGTGAAAAGAACACTACAAAGTTCTTCGAATCACTGAACACAGAGCTATCCAGCTTAAAGTCATTCAAAACAATAATTTTAGCGGGTGATATAAATATTGATATCTCTAACTCCTCAACTGATGCTAGGGCACATACCTATCTTAACTTACTGGCTTCTCACAGTATGCTTCCTGCACACACACTCCCCACTCACACACACACCTGTCTTGACCATATAATCATGAAGACAAAACTTCCTGCACGATGCTATATTGCTCACACTACGGTAACAGACCACTATACTGTGTTACTTAGTATTGCATCTTCCGCTCATAGTACTGGATCAGTCACTAAAACCACTAAGAAAATTGATTACATAGCCCTAGACTCAGCCTTTTCCGAACTAGACTTAAACCAAATCTTTGCCATGACTGATGCTAATAATGCAGCTGACTTTTTAATTACCTCACTAGAAAGTACACTCCACAAATTTACCAAGATCTCTATAGTCCCTCTTCGCAAAAAAATAATCAAACCGTGGATCACGCCAGGCTCATTAAGATGCATGAAAAATCGAGACAAACTACATACTAAATGCAAAAAACATCCTAACAATGAAGTTTTCAAATTGACCTATTTACGCTACCGTAATCACTGTAACAATATTATTAAAAAGCTGAAACAAGAA